GGACTCTTCCTCGTGAGAAGCACAGATTTTGGGCTTAATATTATTCGTGGTATTGGACACGACGAGACCGAGTGAGGTCTCGATTGTATTATGATGTTTGTATATCACACATTGGGGGCTATAGATGGCGTTGCATATTTGCATTATGTACATAATACCATTTGGTACATTCTCTACTTCTAACATGAAACAATAATCAAGATTCCAAAGGGGTTTGATGTCGCTGCCAACTTGTAAAAAATATGTATGAGCCTTGTCCTCCGATATTGTAGAGTACTCGTTATACCATTGAGGCTGGGCTAAGTCGTCTTGATAAACAAGGACGTGTATAAATATGATAGGAAGCTCGTGCAGGATCATGGCCAGGATTGAATTTCGACGTGAAGGGTACCTTGCGTTCTGTCTGAGATTGATATTGGCCATATACCTATGCTTCGATTCGCCCCTAATCGTGTGTCACAAGTCTCCCTACAAAAGAGGAAGTCAAAGCAATTGGATTATATTGTTTAGCTAGCCAATACTACGGTGGGTACTGTACTATCAACCGACCTTTTCGCCAAAAAGCTGCCGAGCGTTTCTATAGGCACTCCTATATCAACTGCCAAGTGATAAAACCTCATCATTATCATACTATCATTTCTACCCTATATTTTAGATAATTATGGACATCAATTGAAAGGAGTATAGTATGTAATACCCTGCCAAGTCGGATTGTTGATGAGGAAAACGTCACGCAATCTGACAGCCGATGATGAAATGCATCCATTGTCACTAATACTGATGTTGCGCGTAGAAAAATGGTCCGATAAATTATCATAACTATGCTGGCGTTAGTGTTCGGAGGTCAAGTCAAGGATATCCACAAGACAATGTGGTGATTACAGTGGGGATGATGGCGAATGTTTGGTCTATGGCACGCCATATGCAGTTCTAAGGATTCGCCTGTCATGACTCGGAAACTTTCCGTGCCCCTCTTTCGCATTGCCGATGGCGTGAGATATATGTGCGATGAACGAATTCTGAGTTGGGATGATGTCGCGGGGGTAGATTAGCCGTCCTTCCGGGCTTTGTTGATTTGGGACATGAGGGGTTGAATCACTGTTATAAACCATCGTCGTATCTGCTGTATCCTGAAACCGCGAATCATGGGAGACGGTGCAGCTACTGGTCAGAGTAGCTCGGCCGGGGGAAATGGCAAGAAACAAATCTTGCTTAATGCTTTTGACATGTCAACCGTCGGGCATCTGTCCCCTGGACAATGGAAGGTTGGTATATGAACCGAAGTCGAAGGGCGAAAACGCTGACAGCTCCACAGAATCCCAAAGACAAGTCTGCCACCAAGCGGACACTCGGGTATTGGATAGAGTTGGCGAAGCTGTTGGAGCGCGGTGGGATCAACGCATTATTCCTGGCAGATACAACTGGAGGTCACGATACCTACGAGGGCAAACTGGACGAGTGTATTCGGCGCGCGGCGCAATGGCCTGTGACAGACCCGACTATCGTGAGTGTCAACAAAAGCAAAAATTCTGATCAGAGTCTGACTTTCTGACTAGCCCATTTCAGCAATGGCTGCTGTGACAAAGAATCTGGCGTTTGGCATCACAGCGTCGACTTCATTCGAGCAGCCCTTTTTGCTGGCTAAACGCTTTTCAACATTGGACCATTTGACGAATGGCCGACTGGGCTGGAACATCGTGACCTCATATAAGAAAGCGGCTTTCAAAGCCATTGGTGTGGATACTCCAATTGAGCATGACGAACGGTACCGCCAGGCAGACGAGTATTTAAAGGTGCTCTATAAGTGAGTTGCATGCCCCAGCTCCCTTAGGATGATGTCTTTGAAAGACTAACTCGGCGGTTGTTACGTACAGACTGTGGGAGGGCTCCTGGGCTCCTGATGCCCTGTCGCCTAACCCCGACGCAGATACGTACATTGACCCGGATAAAGTCCGCCAGATCAACCACAAGGGCAAGTACTTCTCATTAAGCACACCACATATCGTCGACCCGTCTCCGCAGCGGACACCATTCCTTTTCCAGGCAGGGACTTCCCCTGCAGGATCCGAATTTGCTTCGACACACGCTGAGGCAATCTTTGTCTCTTCCCATTCGCCAGAGGTTTTGCAGCCGAAGATCGCAAATATCCGCAAGCTAGCCGCAGAACGAGGCCGTGACCCGCAATCTATCAAGTTCTTCAGTACCTTCACGCCCATTGTAGGCGAGACTGACGAAGAGGCGTGGGCGAAGTACGAGGAGCTGAAGAAGTACGCCTCGGTGATTGGAGGATTGGTTCTTTTCAGCGGATGGACGGGCATTGACATTTCCAAAATCCCATTGGACCAAGACATCACCGCTTCAGATTCGTTGGAGGCAAACAAAGTCACTAGCTTGCTTGACTCGTTACTCACGACCAGCAAGGATATCCCGCGCTGGACGCCTCGCGTGGTTGCCGAGAGGGCTGCGATCGGTGGTCTTGGCCCGGTGGCTATTGGGAGCCCTGCTACTGTTGCCGATGAGATGGAGCGTTGGATCCGAGAGGCTGACCTCGATGGGTTCAATCTTGCCTATGTTACCACGCCTGGCACCTTTGAGGAGGTGGTCGACATGCTCATCCCCGAGCTGAGGCGGCGCGGGATTTATCCTGAGCTTTCAGACCCCTCAGAGCCACCACTGACAGCCCGTGAGAAGGTCTTTGGCAAGGGACAGAAAGAGCTCAGGGCTGATCATATTGGAAGCAAGTACAAATACGATGTGTATCAGGAGGACGAGCCTTATGTTGACGGTACCGAGGAAAACTGACTGTCGAATGACATTTGATGTTCATTTAATTTATGGAGGTAGAAGATCATTGAATGATACAAACTCAGAAACCCAATAATATGCACGCAAGAGGTGCATCGTAGAGTGAAACAAAACGTTGCTGGTAACTTAATGTTACTACCCGTGACCCAGTACGTAATGCCACTCTAGCCTTTCCGGGACAGCTTGGCCAACTCCCTCATACTCCTCTCGATTACCTTGACGTTTCCTGACTTCGCCTATGAGTGGACTAAAACTGAACGAGGTGCCATTCTTGCGCTAAAATTTCAACCATCACGACCATACCACGCGAACCATGGCTACCGTACACCAAGGCCACCCCCATGATGAGCCCCATGATGACGAGTCTCTCCTCGATGATGATTTGATCGAAGCTGATGATGGTGAGTACTTTTATTTGTCCCTATTGACTGTCAGGGTATTAGCAAGATGCTAATTCGGCATGATTCTAGCCATCGAGGCTGACGACCCCCTGCGCGATACATCCGACACGGCCCCTCTGCGAGGCAACATCGAATCCAGCTCGAGCAACCGAGGAAATACCTCTGGCTATGGCAACTACCTAACGTCCTCTATCGGTGGTGAAGATCGCCGTGCGACACAAAATACCATCGACGAGAGTGTTTGGGAGACATTGTCACGCGACTTGGTTGCCGTGTGGGAGAAGATGCGCCAGGTGCTTTGGCCGAAGTACTTGCTTGGAGGGATGATGCAGCGTGGAGGCAGTGGCACTGCTGATGCTGAACAAGGTGGTGTGTCTGGATTTGGTGGTAACATCCGGGGACTCGTTGGACGCTGGCCGGATGCCGACGTGGTCCTGCAGGGTGGCATGAGCGATGGGTTGCGGGACTGGGATCTCTGGTAAGCTATCATACCCTCGAAAAATCTGCATAAAAACTAACGCAGGGCTTATTCTAGGGGACCGCTTGTGTTTTGCCTGGTCTTGAGTTTGTTCTTGTCTATCGCAAAGGGTGATCAATCGTCAGTGGTTTTCTCGGGTGTTTTCTGTCTTGTCTGGATCGGAGAAGCGGCTGTAACTCTTCAGATCAAGCTCCTTGGTGGCAAGATGTAAGTGCTATATGAATCCGCCCCCAATGTCACAGTTAACTGACATTACGGCCTCGGCCTGTTAGTTCTTTCTTCCAGTCCATTTGCATTATCGGTTATACGCTATTCCCCTTGGTCATTGCCGCCATGCTGAGTGCGCTAGGACTTCCTACCATCGCACGGATACCAGTGTATCTTGTGTTAGTCGCATGGTCTTTAGCAGCTGGAGTAAGCATCTTAGGAGGCTCGGGAGTGGTGCGGAACCGAGTAGGCATCGCAGTGTACCCGCTGTTTGTGTTCTACATTGCGATCGGCTGTCTCTGTTTCATCAGTTAAGGCTCTCTATTGTGATATTGTGCTCAATGAGAAAATGCGCCATCACATGCCTCTGATAGGCACCGGCGCGATGAATCTCAATAACAACATTGGATTGATTGTATTAGAATAGCGCGGATACCGGTATATCCAGACAATAAATTGAGTTTATTGCAAATTGTATCTGCCGAGGCACCTAAGCAACAATAGACGATTGTTTTATTGAGATGAATATGCTTTGTTCCCATTTCCATTGACGCTTTGCTATCCAACCCATTTGTTGGGCCCCGCACCCGGCGGTCAACTTATAAGAACCGGCAAGCTAGGCTTTTCCTTTCTTCTCCCACCTTTCTTTCGCCTTTCCAACCTTCCATCCTCTTGTACTTCAGTTCGCAAACTTCGCAAACTTCAAATCTTCCATTCGTCGTCGATTCGGCTGGTCCCAATCGTATCGATCTGTCTATCTGCAGTTATCCTAACCTGTTAGAGCTCCGCTCAATTCAATCTCGACCGGGTATCTGGAACACGTACCCAATATCTTTCGCAAGTCTTGTCCTTAAGACCCGACGCCATGGCTTCTGCTTCCCGTGAGCAGAACCCCTCGGCAGGTGGTATGTCATCATTGCTTGGGCGCATAGCCTCAAATCCCCACATGCTTGGGCAGTTTCGCTAACAACTTCAAAGCCCTGGAAACAGAGCGACTGGAAATGGACCACGGAGGTGCGTTTTGATCCAGTGATCCGTCTTTGTTCCGACCTGCAGCTCTCCCCCATATCTACAGTACCCTTTCTGCCACAGGGCTTTCTCCGTCGTTCATGCGATCTGACGATATCATCTTGACAGTAACCGCGCAGTCGCCTGCCTCCGACAATGACAGCGGCGAACGCCCTGTACGACAACAGCTCAAGCAGACTAATCTTGACGCTGTGGGCGAAAGCGACGATTCTACACGCGCAAACCGAAAGCGCTCCCTCGACCTCACAGAGGGGGCCAACGACACACCCCCGACCAAGCGATCCCGAGAGTCCACCCCGGACAATACTGCCAAAGATGCCACTACCCGAGATGTGAGTGCCGATGTGCCAGCCACAGCAGCCGTGAATACTTCGGTTCACAATACACGTCTGTCCTACAACCCGATCATTAGCCACATCCCCGAGACCAGCAAGGTCCAGTTTCCCCTGGAGCTTGAGATCAAGGTCTCAATTGGTGGATCCGAGCAGATTAGCCATTTGACCATTCCTGTTGAGATTGGTATCAAAGTGACAACTGGAGCGGTCTCCTTGGCTTCCTCGACTTCCAAATCCACTGAAGGCGAATCCTCCAAAATCCATATCACAATTCCTTTTGCAAAGCCTATTCCTCCATCTGGACACCCATTCCCTGCTGCGCACCCTGCTCCCGTGGAGCCTTCCCCTGGAAACCCCTCTCCCGCGGACCCTTCTCTTACACACCCCTCTCCCGCGGACCCTTCTCTTACACACCCCTCTCCCACGGACCCTTCTCTTACACACCCCTCTCCCGTGGGCCCTTCTCCTGCGTACCTCCGTCATGGGCACCCTCTACCTGACGAGTACAAGGATGACCCTTCATTCCACACATTTGAAGAACCTGAGTCAATTGGAGATTCTTCGTCTGAAGACTCTCTACCTGACTACCGTTCACCTGAATACCCGTCCTCTCCACCTGTCCCACACAGTCCAACGGACCCCGATTACCCTAGGCCCACGGTTGAAGTCGTTGAAGTCCTTGATTCTAACCACTCTCAATCTCCACAGAATCTTGAAACTACCGGCGGAAACGAGGATGATTCTTCACAACTCAAGAAGAAACGGAGCCGAGAGCAACTTGAAGATGATATCTTGAAGAATTCCCACGCGACTGACCCCGCCCCCGGCTTGGTCGAGAAAACTTCAGACGAAAGCTCCACTGCCGACGGACAACCCGAGAAGAAGAGACCTCGTGACAATTCGGAGGAGCGCAAGGCTAAGGTGGACCAGGTGAGTTTGCTGCCTCGTCTTCCCCAGCTTCTTTTTTCTTTTTTCCATCTTCCACTAACACTTGCTTCTGACAGACTTTCACTGAGAGTGCATTCGGAAAGGCTTCTGCCAACCCTTCACCTTTCGCAATGCCGAATAAATCGACACCTGATGCCTCGCCTTTTGCAACCAAAGCTGCCCCGACTTCTGGTTTCGGTGCCCTCGGATCCGGCTTCTCTGCCTTCGGTAGCGCTTTCCCCGCTCCCTCTGGTAAACTCACCAGTTTCGCATCTCCCAATGCCCCCGCCGCTTTCTCTGGAACAGCTGGTAAACTGACCAGTTTCGCATCTCCCAATGCCCCCGCCGCTTTCTCTGGAACAGCTGGTAAACTGACCAGTTTCGGATCTGTCAACGCCCCCACCAGTTTCTCAGGAGCAGCTGGCAAACTGACCAGCTTCGCGTCTCCCAATGACCCGGTTCCTTTTGGCGAGTCCAGTGACAAGACCCTCGGTGCAAAACAATCCGACGACGAAGAGAGTGACAACGAACCAGTTGGTGAACCTGATGACACCTTTGTTGCCGAGAAGACCGACGAGCGTTTCCACGCACAAACTGGTATGGACCCCGCCTTGCCTCTCCCCTGGATCCCGAATATGGCTCGTGACTCACACCAACCTGAAAAATCAGTTGAAACCGGCGAAGAAAACGAGACCACCGAGTTCACCGCCAAGGGCAAGCTGTATAGCTTTGACGACAAAAAATGGAAGGAGCGTGGTACCGGCACCTTCAAGGTTAACCTCAAGGCAGAGTCCAACGGAAAGAAATCTGGCCGCATTATCATGCGTGCTGATGGTGCCTTGCGTGTTATGCTGAACAGTGCTATTTGGCAGACCATGCCCTTTGGTGATATCAAGGGTTCTCGCCCGGCTACTCGCGATATCTACCTGGCAAGCAAGGAGGAAGAGAAGGTTGTCAGCCTTCTTCTGCGGGTAAGTTTCCAAGTTCTTACTTTTTCGGGGTTTGATTATAATGCTAACGGATCAATGCAGCTTGGAAACGAAAAGCCAGCCCAGGAACTATACGACATTCTGAAGGATGTCGTTCAGAAACTTTAAGTTGTTTTAACATGCTGGCCATATGTAAATAAAGAAGAAAAAGAAGAAAAAGAAGAAAAAAAAAGACAGAACCCCTCTTGTAGGTAGGGGCTCAGAGTTCTTATTGCAGATTTAGCGCTGTTTAATACACTTGCGTGAACATTATATCCACCCTTAAGTAGCATCTCACACTATATCACCAACATGTAGAACCAAGAAGCCTTACCCTTTCAATCTAGGTTATTTTAATCGCATCCCGCTCATGTCTATAGTTTATATGTTTGATATTGCTTCGCTCATAAAGAGTCCAACTAGGTGCCGGACTCTTATCTAGAACCACGCAAGATACCTAGGCACCAGGGATTGGAAATCCAATGGTACCAAATTCTGAGGTAGCCTCTTGGAAGATGGGCTTCAATCTACCCATGAGTCTGAAAAGAATTGCATTACACGTGTATTGAGATCTAATCTAACCATAGTCTTGACGAATCTCTCTCAACTTGAGTCCTGCTCCACGAAGAGCCTGAAAGACGCCATGCGGATCGTGTCTCCTTCAAGAACTCTCGTCCACTTTTACCGTAGATTTGACACGCATCTTGGACTGGCTAGCGTAGTTTATATAGACAAAACCATGATCGAGTCCCAATCTCTTAGCCTCTTGCGCAACTCTGCCAAAGACATTTGCAAGCGCTTGGAACCCACATGGATTTTCTGCGGATTTCGAACAACAAGGCTCAGCGTTGAACATAATGAATGGCTGTTTAATATTCAAGCCACGGTGTTGCCACCGTTATCTTGCATTCGCTCTAGCCGAGGGGTAATGTACTGCATCGCACACTAGGCGTTAAATCCAGCAATCTCATCCTTGATTGGATCCATCTCCTCGATCCAAAACTTGGCTCAACATTGGAGCATGCGCAGGTCGACCTTAGTGCTCATTGTCCACAAGGTATTTGCCTATGGTAGGGATACCCTGAGATGCTCAATGCTATATCCGTCTGATTCTGTTTCGCCACGTCCTCGTCCAACGATGAAATAGAGAAGACAGGGTCAAATATCACTGGTGTGATTGTGACTCCATCACAATAGTGCAGTGAGCTAAGCCAGATCCACTAGCCGTCCTCATATCTCAGAGCAAGTATGTGAAACACTTTGGGGTCTTTGTGGAATCTTCCCGGGTGTTCAAAAAGCTCTTTATCACCTCTTCACCCTATGAGAATTCATGTACAAATCGAGAAAACCGCATATAAAGTGAAAATACTGAGAAAAAGACTAGGAAAATGGAGAAAAATATACAAAAGAACCGCAGGAAAAAAGTGTAGGGCCAAAGAGTGAAACCTGAAAGCAAAAACCTAAGCATAAATGCGATCCATTGATAAATACAAGAAACTCCTTATTCCAACATTTCTCATTACGATACACCTGTAGCTTTCCAATCCATAATCAACAAAGAAAGAGAAATCACGATAGACAATAAATCCTCTAAGGAAGCCTTTGGACAGATTGTTAGGTGTCTTTGTCAGAGCTATCGGTCATCTATCCTTGTCGGTATCCGTATACCTCGCTTCATTTCATTCAGTGTGCATATGCCAGTTTAAATCCAACACTGTCACCACATTTATACTGGGTGGTAGAGTGGCAGCCCATTAGGGTGACCCATGGATCCTGTGGTGGAGGGCCGAGACGTTTGACTTATAGCGTCCACAGGGGTCTGGGGATCATGCTGGGCCATATCTTGCTTGCATGTGAGCAGAGGCCTTTGGTGGGTGGTAGTGCATTGGGGAAGATGAAACCTTTTGACTGACTGCCGGTGGGCCGTAGTCCGCTAGACTGTGATATGTATATACAGTTTATATTAAGCTTAAAGAAGAAACTAACTATAGGCCGTTAGATAAGGGTTTCGTCTACGAAGAGTATAATCAATAAAACGTCAAAAAGGCGGTAGGCTAAGCGGCGTAGTCTACACTATGGGCAAAATTCGATCTGCACACTGCCGTAGACCCCGACACTCCGTTTTCTCCAAATTTTCGGGTGTAAGTGACATGCATACTGATGCTTGCTATTTTTGGCACCGGAGGCTAACCATGTTAACCAATCATGAGTCACGATGAGGCATCCATGGTCTGAATCTTCTAGCTTTAACCTACTATGATATAACGGCAACAAAGGATGGAAATGGATGACTATGTGCCTAGGTAGATAGGGACAGTAGAGTGAGGACTAATGGAAGAGACCAATACGAGCTCAAGATGAATAGGAACAATAGGCGGAAATCAATAAGAGCCATGGAACAATGGCGGGAAGGACCTCGAATCAATGGGAAGTAAGGAACCAATGAGATCACAGGATCAGTTTGGTATCAGGTACCTAGGTGCCTCTGGGGTGTAAAGGAGTCTTTTTTCTTCTCGTCTTCTTTCCTCTTCTCTCTCTCTTCTTCCTCATCCATCTCTCTTCAAGCCTCTGAGGTCTTCATCCCATCTACTCTTCTTGTCCTCACAACACTTCTGCAGTCTTCGACTCATCATCTCTGCTTACACAAGGTTTGTTCCTCTTACAACCTCTACAGTTGTTGTCTATCCTCATTCTTTCTCACTTACCTCATCACTAACAGCATTAGAGCCGTGCTTCTCTCAGCCTTGTCCTGAGCTCTTGCCACCTTGTCCCGAAGCTTTCATCACATCCGCTTCTTTCATCCTCTCTCAACCCGTGGACTTCTTCTGCAGTCTTTGACTCAGCATCTCCTCCTTCTTTTTACCTTATGCTGAAGATTTTTATCGTTCTCTTAAAGCTTATCAGTGATGGCTGATCCAGCTCCTGTTCTCTGGCCTTCGGGCCATCCCACACCTCCTTTGTCGCCCCGCAAAAGGCGTCGTTATCTTCGTGAATCCGAAGAGTCACAAGGCGAGATGAGTCTGGAGCAATACATGTACTCCTCTGAGATCTATCGATCGGTCAGCATCACCAGTCCACTACCTCTACCGGTGAAAATGGAGACTGTGCCTGCTCTGGAACAGAAAATCAGTCCACTTTACCCAGAGATCCAAGCCATTATGCGCCGTCACAATCTGGATGTCACCACAACCTTCCAATGTGGGAAGATGAGCAAACCAAAATATCCTGGCGGTGATATCCTTTTGAACTTCTTCTCTATCTATCTCAGCGACTCCGACCCCAACATTCCTCCTCTCGGTCCCATCAAAGACGACATCGTGGGACTCTTCCGCCAGCATAAGATCAACGCGCATGTTCAGGTCGTAAGCAGCAAACACTGTCATCGCCCCTCTGTGTTCTTCATCGCCTCAACCCATCCTCTTGTGATAGCCTACGAACGAACTAAACGCAATATTGTCAAGCTTCTCAACCAGACAATCGGCAACAAGTGGCGGTTGCTTTGCCCCTTCAATGTTGGTTCAATGAGAGCCAAGGCGCAACCAATGATCGTGGTACTTGTGGAGCCATGGACACGCGCAAATTGGTTCGAGCTGCGAACTCAGATCATGCATCAGCTCTCGCCAAATATGAAAACGGATGACTTTGACATTGAATTTTTGCCGGGTGGCTTGTCACTTTTGACCAATGGCGGAGAATCCTTTGTGGACCGACTCACTCCAAATGCCGCTCCTCGAATGGGCTACTCGATCGGCATTCCAGGAGACAACAATGCAGGCACATTAGGTGGATTTGTCACATTGACCCACGGTGGAATTGTTCGCCGAGGCTTCCTCACGAATTACCATGTTGTCAGGCCTTCGGAATCTGAAGACAACGACCAGTTCCTCAAAGACCTCGATCGTTCTGGGTCATCTCCCGCTCGGCCTCTGAACCAGGTGGTTGCAATTGAATGCCTGGCTAGCATAGACAGAGATGTTACACTTACCAGCCTTAATTCCTCCTTAAATGCCATGCGCGAGCAGTACTCTGAGTTCAGTGCTAAAGTGCAAGAACGAGAACTGATTGGAACAACTCCGCGTCCCCGACTCCTAGAATGGATAGCAAATTACGACTCTCACATGGAGAAATTTTTGCCTCAGCATGTAGCAGTCGAGAGAATGCCACACATCTTGGGAGAAGTGAAGTTCGTGTCCGGAAAGCAATTTCGTGGTGGCCGAGTCCTAGATTGGGCTTTCGTTCAACTCTCCGAAGAGGCCGAGCAACAATGTTTCAGACCAAACCGCATGTTTACAATCCCTCCTGCCTTTCTGCCACATCAACTCATACCTCCTCACCCTCTTATGGTTGCCCAAGAGCACAGTGTTCTGAACGAATTCAGCTCACTCAATGGAGGGGATTATTGCGTGAAAAACGGCCGTACCACTCGTGTTACTGCAGGCATCTGCAACGGACCAAAAGCGTACTGCAAGTGGAAATCCAGCACGAGATACAACCCTAGTGGGAACCCAGTGGACATGGCTACTGAGGCAACTGCATTGTGACTGAGGAATCTGAGCTGGACCACTCTAAGCGAGCCTTTTGCGGGGAGGGAGATTCAGGCTCATTTATTCTCAATAGACTTGGGGCTGTAACCGGGTTGCTCTGGGGAGGAGTGGTGCATCAAGATCTTGATGTTGGGCTGGCCTCGAGCATGTCCGATGTCCTGGAGTCAATCAAAGAAAAGATTGGAGGTCCTGTCTCTGTGAACCTTCCGCAATGATCTTCCACCCCTTCTACGGCGTTGCCTTTTGTTCTTTGCTCACTTGAAAGCCAATGCTTTTTTCAGTTTGTAATATTGCGTAGCCACATTGTCTTTCAATCAAAGTTATTCTTATGTCAATCTTTGTCTGCATTTACTTCGTATACTTCCGTCGGCTCACGTCCGTTTGTTCTCGTTGGCGAAGAATTCCAGAACAGGTGATGTGGGGGCCAACAGCCAGATGCCTGATTTTTATTGTTTTATAACCTAATTAGTACTAGTTCGGGGCTGGCAGAAATTGAAATACCGGTATTACTATGACTATGGCCTTATCAAATTCAACCGAGGCAGAATAAATGAAGCTATTCGCACAGTACAAAATCGCATAGTATCTGTTAATTCTGAAGCGTTATGTCCTCCTCCCCGACCGTACAAGTCACCGATTTCGCAGCTGTCAAGAATCAGGATCGTTAAATTGATTACCGGTCTTCTTACCGACCACCTATGTGACCTCAAAAGTATGCGTCTTGCTTATTAATCTGCCCTACAAATTGTCAATTTCGGACTATTGTTATTTTTGCTTAGTTAGAGAATTTACTACTATTGGTTCTTACCCATACACTCGTTATACCTGTGTTTCTATCATTTATGTTTATATATAATTATAGTGACTAGACATAAGTTTTTAACACGTCTAGCCCCACACCCCCTTGATTATATAATGTCAGCCGGAATTACCCTTACCCCACTCTGTCATTTTTATATTTACTTTCTAGATAGTAGCCACCTAAGGCATCACTTGCTAGAGTACTTAGAGGATCGGCACTACTTTATAAGCCTATACGGGGATAAATAGTCGATCACTTACTACTCTTTAGAATACACACTCATTTTACCACTTGCTCGGTATAGTAAGTTTTTAGTATTAGTTCATATTAGTGTCCCTCGTTCGGCAACATCTTTAAGCGCACCCCCTTCGAAGAGGTCCATATACTATCGGAGCTAACGGAGCCCGCGGACCCCGCTGAGTCCATGCGTTATTTCGTGTTGTATACTACCTAGATAATTATATAGCAGGTTTGTTCTAGGGTATCGGCAGATCCTTTTTCAATTTCACTCACCACGTTTGTTTCCATAATTTTTATTATATTATAACTTCTTCTTTTCCCCATGTTTGAGAATACCTGTCGCCGTTCGAGGGTTGTGAATGTCGGGGCCCGCGGAGTCCGTGGCTTTTGAGTCGTCCGTCCGGTATAGTCGTTCCGTATAGTCGTCTGGTAATCGGGGTGACTATTGCACCGTATACGGGCTGACTGATTACACCGAACCTAAATACAAAACGAACATTTCGGGCATGGATCCATGGAATTGTCTGTCCACAACTTTCATATTCATTCCCAACGATCTTTTTCGATTCCAGTTTGCTATTATGCGCATCGCCATAGCGGGTTCTGGCGCCATGGCCAGGTACATCTGCGACGAATTCCCAAAGTATGGCCATCAAGTTGTTATACTGTCACGCAGCGACAAGCTGATCTTCAACGGCCGTCCCAATATCTCGCAAGTTGTTACTGATTACTCAGTTGATTCGTTGGTCGCCGCGATTGACAATTGTGAGGTGTTGATCTCCATGATCCTCTCCTATGGGACCGATTTCATCGACGTCCACCTGAACCTGATCAAAGCATGCCAAGCCAGCCCCAAATGCAAGCGTTTTATCCCATCTGAGTACGCGGGTGATCTGGTGAACTACCCAGATCTGCCTTTCTTCTACTACAACACCCGAGAGCCTATCAGAAAGGTTCTGCGCGAACAATCGGAGTTGGAGTGGACACTTGTCAGTGTCGGTTGGCTGGCGGACTATGTGGTCCCTTCAAAGAACAGATATCTTTCGGATGTTGGCCCGGCATTTCCTATCGACCTTGGAGCGAACCAGATCATCATCCCAGGTACAGGAGACGACCCTATTGACGTCACCACGGCTCGTGATCTTGCCGTGGCATTGGCAATGCTCGCCAACGCGCCTTCGTGGGAGCCCTATCTGTACATATCCGGTGAAAAGACTACTTGGAACGATCTAGCGAAACTCGTCCAGCAGCGATATCCTAGTGTGACTGAGGTTAGACGGATCGGCCTTGGACAGATTCTCGACACGATTCAGACATCGACGGATGAAGTGAAGATCTTGGTATCGCACTACCAAATTTTCACGCCACTAAGAGCCGGGTCACTCGATCCGGAAATGGTGCAGCGTCATCGCCGCAAGTTCTTTGCCGGTTTGAATTTCCGGACACCAGAACAACTCATCAATGAGGCAACTGCAAACGGCGACACGATTGTTTGAGATCGTGTCAGAATGGATGCCTCAGACAGCAACCCCTCGAATAGGTAGATAGCGTTGAGACAGGCTATCTGCGGATGTCTGCTTCGTCAGGCCTCCGCTGTTCCCAGCTAGCTATATTAGCTAGTTTCTGTTTGTTGATGGAGAATCACTCCTTCTTCTTCTCTCTCCCTCTCTGCTACCCAGTAGCCAGATCAGATAGTACGGGCCTGCCTCCTTTCCCAATACAACTCTCTCCCTTCTGCCTTTAGCCCTAAGCAGTATTCCAAATGGGTTAGGCCTTTGATTTCAATCATCATCGTCAACGCTCTTAGGAGGAAGTCTTCATTAATTTCATTTTTTGTACTATATAGAGACGGTCGTAGTGTAGGATTTGGATTAAGACCCACTTTCCGGGGGTGGGGAACAACAGGATCCACACTTTCTTCCATTAGCGAATCATCCTTTCTCCCCGCCCTTTAGACTTGCTGAAATAGTGTTTGTATTTTCTATACTGTAACCATTGAGAATTGTATTTAACATTACACCCTACCTTCGTGCTCCTCTTTTCCCAAATAAAACCTGACTTTCTTAACCTTTGCCCTTTCTCATATTTTGAGGTTACCCACAGTAGTCACCACAAAACGCCTCCAAGTTTTTCTGCTTCTTGTAATAACTCGGTGGCTATCTATCTTGGCATTAAGGTAACAAGCCCCTGTCGATCAATTTGACGTTGATACCAGCGCACCAAGTCTGGAGTTATTTTCTCACATTCAGTTTCCAATTCTTTGTGCGAAACAGATAGTACTACTCGTCCCCGCCTCCACCATTACCCCTTTACCCTATCGACGGGTTTTCTTCCCTAGAAAGTACTCGACACACTAGCTGTGACGAGGTGCGCGCTGGGTCAATCTGGCATTGGTTCGAGATGAGACCTCAGGATCTAGCTCTACCAGCTGTGTTGGCCGAGATCGCCGAGATCGATTTCAATAACGAATCGGAAAATGAGACCAACGAGACGTGCAGTTGCGACTAAGAGTTCTACGAAGAGTTCGAGGCGCCGGGGGAGACCTCGGACTGGTTTCGCCTGTGGACCGGCAACGACGAGGTTGACGGTAGGCAATTTCGTTTCTTTGGCTCGACTGGGGCAGGTGACTATGTCGGTTTCTGGCTGGTTCATCCCTATGCGGCTGTCACTGAGCAGCCCGTCGTCTACATCGGTTCAGAAGGCGAGCTCGGTGTGGTAGCGAGGGATCTTGGTGATTTGCTCTTGCTGTTCGCGAACGGATCGGGCCCGGCCGAGGCGTTTAATTACCCGCAGCATGAGACGCAGCAAAATGAGGCGTTCCGGGTAATTGCAGAACGATATACCGCAGGAAGGGCTCTCTGTACTGTTGAGATCGTCCCTATTGCACAGGACGAGTTTCCAACATTTTTAGAGTCCATCCGCGCGACGTGTCGGTGAGCTTAAGCCTGCTGGTACAAACCACTTGTTTGTACCGTTCCAAGGTTGTGCAATACAGACGCCCTCAGATGATGCCACTTGAGTACGTATGGGCCTTATTCGAATGCAAGGGTTCTTGCAGGAGAATGGCCGCTTTACCTGGCAACCCCGCACCTACGAACCAGTCATTAATGAGTACTCATGGGTTAATCTAACCAATATGTTATGGGAAGTCATTAGTGAAATTGTACATATGTCATGTCCGAGGATGCAATTGATAGACTGACTGAGGTGTTTAGGGTCGACCAACCGGTTGGAGCTGGGTTCTAAACGGTACGCCGACTGCTACCAGCGAGGAGGACATCGCGGCCGATTTCGTCGACTTTTTCCAAGAGTTTCAAGAAGTATATGGTAGCAAGGACTTTCGAATCTTCCTAAGTGGTGAAAGTTATGCGGGCCGGCACGTGCTCTACATATCCGCCGCCATGCTCGATAAGAACGATACCGAACAGTTCAATCTCGGCGGTAGGACCCGAACCTGCATTATATTGGCCCCACATTCTCATCCATACTAGGAGCTCTGATGTATTATGCATGCATCGTGTACCCCCTCTTACCCCTTCGTTGAACAACATGCTGAGCTATTCAACTTTAACCAATCGTTTATGGGGGAGTTGCAACTTACCTACGGACAATGCTGTTACAAGGAATATTCGAGGAGTATTTCACTTATCCGGCCTCTGGAGTGCAGCCCCCAAAGGAAATAGACTACTCCGAGTGCGATATCTACAACATGATCTATTACGAAGCTTTTAATCTGAACCTATGCTGGAGTCCTTACAAGATCACCCAAACATGCCTACTCTTATGGGATGTCCTGGGCTTCCCCATAGACCTTGCCTGTCAGCCGGGTCCCGCAACCTATTGCAACCGCACTGATGTGAAGATGGCTCTGCATGTTCCTCAAGATATCGACTGGGAGCTCTGTAGCGTTGACAGTGTATTCGTGAGCGCCAACCCAGGACCCGAGCGACAACCCGACGTGTGAATCCCACAGAGCACTTCCTGCTGCGACTGATTGAAGCGAACAACCGAGTTCTGATCTCGAACGGAGATTGGGACTATCTGATCATAACGAATGGAACGTTGCTGGCGATCCAGAATATGAGCTGGAATGGCGAGCTAGGCTTCCAGACTCGTCTTACCACTCCCATTAATATCGACATGCCCGACTTACAATACGCTGCGGTCTTTGATGCCCAAGAGGGATATGGCGATTTCGATGGCCCGCAGGGGTTGATGGGGGTTCAACTCTATGAACATGGTCTGATTCGTGGAAACGTTCCAAGCGGGCACCGACTGCCCCAGGATGAAGGTCGAATGGCTTATCCTCATGTCTAGTGGTTGTTGGGTGATGATTAGCATCTTTGATGTCCTCTCCATCGTGATGAGACAGACTCATGTAAACCAAGCCGCTGTGGCCCAGTGGCAGGGTGCGTGGATGTACAGGTCACTCACCGTGACGGCAAATTGTCTTTGCTCACTGAGCTATCGTCGGTCGTCGGCGATGCCTTTCATGCAAAATGGCGACTGGATCCGCGGGCAGGCCGCTTGGCCTAATGGTTAGGGCATCCGACTCCTAATCGGGAGATTGCGTGTTCGAATCGCGCAGTGGTCGATTTTTGCTCCTCGGTTTGTGCTCCTCGGTTTGTGATTGGTTTAACTTTTAATGATGGATCCATGAAGACAATGCAAAGGGCGGTGAAGTGATAGAACATCCAAGAGACTCGACAGAACGCCTGCCATGAGATTCCTCTTTCTTGAGAAAAGTGGCCTTAACCGGCGTCTTCCTTTTGGGAAGTTTGTAGGTTTTCAGAACGTACTTCTGCCTGGAGGGATTCTAACATTGTTGATAGGGACTGTGGCAAGTATTCTTCGTATGCTATCTTTTTCAAGAAAGTGCTCTTAAGGATCAGACCTGTACGTCCCAAAAAAGTCACCACGCTCAAACCTTAATGTCAATAAGGACTTCTGTCAAGCTTGGAATTTGGACAACTCTCGAAAGTGGCATTATCATCATAACTGCCTGCCTTCCTCCCATTTGGCCTTTGATTCCCAAAATCGTACGTCGCCAACCGTCCATTGATTCATCTTCAAACAATGCTCCGCGCCATGCAAAAGTCGGGCCTGGATTTTTGCAACTTGGATATAGCACAAAAGGGGAGCAAGTGGCCCCTCAACCTGGAGGTGTCCCAGGCAGTAGACTCAGATCGACATACTGATGAGATATTCCTGGTGCGGGTTTCCCGATGTCGCGAAACCTGAATTATGTCCATGCAATTGCAGCTTTGCAGCTATTACATTCTAAGAGAAAACTCGCTGCAATCTTTTCCTAGTCAATAAGCAGATTATTTCTATATAATAATGTCGGACCTTAGGAGCTACTTTTTTTTTGGCTTTTTAGGGTTCCAAGCTTCCGCCTGATCCACCTTGGACAACCAAGATTGGGAAACTTACACCTTAATCTCCTCAGAACTACATCCTAAATGTTCTTTCAATTGTCACGATTTAATTTACCGGTATTTACCCTGCCAAACCTTGGGAAAGAATTGTTTTGGAAGATAAGCCAGAAGGCAGCTGCAACCTGGGGACGCCAGCGGGAATTGGAAGGATTGCACTGCTAGTTAGTATTATACATATATGAAAAGCAAAAAGAGGCACAAGTAATATCCACCAATTAATGGATGAAGAACATTGATGCTATGAGTGAAGTTATCAAATATGTATACAACATAGTAGGATACCCCACTGAGCATTGGCCAATTTTAGAACCTTGGAGCGGATGGCCATTTTAGGTGATATTGGTGCACGTGACCTCGCGTTTCCCGTTCAACTCGGACTTTCATCGACTTCTACTCCAACATAGAGCACTATGCAGCCTCGACATGGCGGGCTCCTTGTCAATACCACTGCAAGCCTCATCATTAAAACGGAAACGAAGTCGTGAAGGCGATCACGGCCTCGAGTCCAATGTTCCTCCTCCACCCTTAGACGCGTCGCCCCAAGACCCTGCCGATCAAACACCCTCAACTACAGCCGATCGTCCCCTCAATGAGTCCAATGTACAGATAGACAGATCTATCACCACAGCTGCCAAAAAAACGGGCAAAGGGAAGAAAATTACCTCGAAGCGGCCGAAGCCCTCGAAGCGAACTCCAACTGCGCCATTGCCAGATGCCTTTAAGCGCCTCTCGCAGACCCATCGCGCCTTGAATCTCGTTTACACCTTTTGCTGCACGCGAAAGCATTTTGCCACCACATTTGACAACATAGAAAAAGCAGTACAGGCTCAACTTGGCCAAGGGCGAGAACTCACTGTCGAGGATGTCGCACGTGTGAAAGTTATAGTTCCCGGAGCGGTCCGGTTCGAATATGTGGACGAAGCCCAGTTGGAAGTAATGACTGTTGGAGATGAAGACATAGCTCAATATGGGCTACACAAGCGGTCAAGTCTGGCATTTGCGGCAGGCATGGACACAGCCGAGAACACTAGAAGTGGCGATCTTCAGCATGCAGACGACGCAAAGCAAGTTCTGTTATTCGAGTTTGTCGACGGCGATCTAAAGCGGGAAGTACTGAACGCGAAGACTGGGGAACCTATGAAACCGACGCGTCGCATGAAAGAGGACGACCTGAAAATGCCCGTCTACAGCCAAAAACAGATGCTGGGTTTGATTGAGAAACGAAATGCCAAGTTCGCAGACGCTTTGAATGCGTTTTTGGTTCAATGTGAGGACAATAATACTGATCCGGTGCATGCTCTTGAACAAGAGAAGAATGTTTTTGTGCCCATTCCTCCAAGCAGCGGTGCGAACACCCCTCTTGCGGCGAAGCCGCCAGCAACGATCCCCAAGGAGCGCAAGTCCATTGCGGAAATCATTGCAGAGATTCGGGAGATGGATTGGTATCATGCGCAGATTGTGCCCGAAGGCCACCGAGTATTCGAAGCCCAATCTCCTGTCTACGGAGATTTGACATTCCAGCTCTCGCAGGACCTTGTCAATGCTCTGTATAACACAAAAGGAATCACCCAGATGTATGCTCATCAAACAGAGGCAATTAACCACCTGTACGAGGGCCATAATGTGATTGTGTCGACGTCGACAAGCTCGGGAAAATCCCTTATCTACCAAGTCCCTATGCTGCACGAGCTAGAAAAGGATCCGGAGAGCAGGGGGATGTATATCTTCCCCACTAAAGCTTTGGCGCAAGATCAGCGCCGCAGCATGATGGATCTACTTCAGTATATGAACGGGCTGCAACACACATTGGTTGAAACCTTTGACGGGGACACGCCAATGGGGAGCCGGAACTTGATTCGTGACGAGGCGCGGATCATTTTCACCAATCCTGACATGCTTCATATTACAATTTTGCCACAGGAGAGTTCCTGGCGCACCTTTTTGAAAAATCTGAAGTTTGTCGTTGTCGACGAACTACATGTCTACAACGGCTTGTTTGGATCTCATGTCGCTTTTATCATGCGCCGTCTTCGCAGAATCTGTGCTGCGGTGGGTAATCGTCATGTCAAGTTCATATCTTGCTCTGCTACTGTTGCGAACCCAGAGGATCATATGAAGTCTGTCTTTGGGGTACAAGATGTGAAACTCGTCGATTTCGATGGATCTCCCTCTGGTCGTAAGGAGTTTGTTTGCTGGAATACGCCATTCAAAGACCCCAAAGATCCTACCTCTGGGCGCGCCGACACTGTCACTGAGACCGCGAGGCTTTTCTGCCAGTTGATCCTTAGAGGCGTGAGAGTCATTGCCTTCTGCCGAATCAGGAAGCTATGTGAGATTCTCTTACAAGGCGTGCGCGCCGAGTTTGATAGACTCGAACGAACAGAGATCGGCAAGCTAGTGATGGGCTATCGAGGCGGGTATAGCCCTCAAGATCGACGTCAAATCGAAAAGGAAATGTTCGAGGGGAAATTGATGGGAATTGTGGCTACCAACGCTCTGGAACTGGGCGTTGATATTGGCTCCCTGGATGCAGTCATCACCATGGGGTTCCCATACTCGATCTCCAATCTACGCCAACAAAGCGGCCGCGCTGGACGACGCAACAAGGACTCCCTATCCGTTCTAGTCGGAGACAGATACCCAACCGACCAGCACTACATGCAGAATCCAGATGAAATATTCACGCGGCCTAATTGCGAGCTGCAGATCGATCTTTCCAACGAACTCATCCTCGAAGGTCACGTCCAATGTGCTGCATTTGAGATGCCTATCCGCCCAGAAGAAGACAGCATCTACTTCGGGCAACAGCTCCTTGCCCTAGCCCCAACCCGCCTTACCAAAGATCCACTCGGCTTCTACCACTGCCACCCACGCTTCCGCCCGCAGCCCTCCCGCAGCGTCTCAATCCGCGACACAGAAGACCAACACTTCGCCGTCATAGACACAACTAACAACCGCAACATAGTCCTAGAAGAAGTCGAAGCCTCGCGCGCCTTCTTCACTATCTATGAAGGCGGGATCTTCCTCCACCAAGGCGCAACCTACCTCGTGAAAGAACTAAACACCGAATCCTTCCTAGCGCGCGTTGTCCGCGTACACGTCGACTGGAATACGATGCAACGAGACTTCACCGACATCGACCCCATAGAAACCGAAATGATGCGTTTGGTCAGCAACGACCCCTCCGCCTCGCGCGCCTTCTTCGGCGCAATCCAAATCCACGCCGTAGTCTACGGCTTTTTCAAAATCGACAAACGCGGCCGCGTCCTCGACGCCGTCGCCGTCGATAACCCGCCAATCGACCGTCTTACCAGGGGCATGTGGCTCGACGTCCCAACTCGCGCTATCGACATCCTGCAATCCCACCGGCTAAATGTAGCTGCGGCCATTCACGCCGCCGAACATGCTGTCCTGTCCCTTCTGCCCTCCTTCGTGGTCTCCTCGCCCGGTGACGTCCGCACGGAATGCAAAGTCGCGAAGAAAGAGCTCGGCCGGCCGCTGCGCCGTGCGAACGTACCCAGTGAATTCGAGGAGAAGCTTAAACCGCCTTCGCGGCAGAGACCTGCTCGGCTTACCTTCTATGACGCGAAGGGTGGGTCGTGCGGTTCTGGGATTGCTAATAAGGCGTTTGAGTTTATTGGGTTGCTTCTCCGGCGGGCGGTTGCGCGCATCGAGACTTGTTCTTGTCTTTCACCACAGGGCTGTGTGGAGTGTGTCTGTGATGAGCGGTGTAAGGAGATGAATGTTGTCATGAGTAAGGCTGGCGCTGGGGTTATACTGCGGTGTTTGCTGGGGTGGGAGGTTGATGTTGATGTCTTGCCGTGGGGGGAGGATGTGGAGGGGGATGAGTTAGGAGTAGGCGCTGGAGAGTTGGCTGGTGGGTTGGAGACTGTCGTGAGGGCCGAGGAGGTGCCGTGGAAAGCTGGGTGTCGGGTTGGTTGTTGAGAGATACGTATTATGGATCGTGCCCATTTCTGACATTAGGCATCCAGGTCAATCGTGCGCCTATGGGACAGGGCTCAGTGAAAAGTTAATCACGTGCAGAGGCTAGCTGAAAGTGATGTGCATGTCGGCCGTCCAATAACGTAGACGGAGATATTGAGTGAATGAGTGATGATACCAAGTTGGGTGAATTGTATATGCGACAAGGACCTAGT